AATAATAGTATATGAAAATAACATAATTTTTAAACTTGAGCAAAATGTTCTTCTTGAGAAAGAAATAAATGTGTTTGATCAAGAAATGAATGATATTGAGGAAGAAATAAATGCTCTTGAAGAAGAAATAAAATTTGCTTTAGATATAATAAAAAGTGAAAATAAAACTGAGAAAATTAAGTTAAAGACTTTTTGCAACGAAGTCGCAGATTTTTTGAAGTTATTTCCAACCACCTATGATACCAGCATAAGACAAATTCCTTATCTTCAAACAAATAAACCAAGATCACCGGGGAGGCTGCCAACTTATTTGAATATGGGCAAACTGCATATGATACCACACAAATTTACTCTCAATGAATTTCTAAGTCAAAAATCTGATTATAATAAATGAAAAATAGTCCAGAATCTAATCATTCAAAATTTCCTATCTATAAAATTATAGTAATGATAGTATTATTACCCTTAGATTATACTCGAGTTCAGAAACTTGGAAAAGAGAAGATCGATGCCCAATAGAGACTGCGTTCAGAATCTTATAATTCTAGGAATATTTTGAATTCAAAGAATGATGGGATTTCATAGAACATAGAATAATTAGAATCTTTTTACATATATTAGTTAAAAAGAGCTCTTTAATAGCAGAAAAAATCATAGACTTGTTCTTTAAAAATTGTTATTATAACCATCTTTTGTTTTCATTCTATCAATTTATTTATTTGTGAATCTAAATTGGCTAAATAACTGGCTTCATGCTTACAACTTTGTCTAGCTTGAGAGACATACACTTATATTATACCATCTGCCTTTCGTCAAAGAGCAACTGAATATTTGTGATCTAATAGAAATAAATCGAGCTATCATTTATTTCCAGTATAGAGATTTATGGCTAAAAAACACAATCGATAAGTAACTTTTTAAAGTTTTTACTTATTTAATAATGTAATTATAATTAGTAACGTTCTTTTTTTTAGGAAGGTTGTTCACATGGGATTTTGCTATGAATGACTTGCAAAGTGGGTCATTTTTATGGCAAAGGTCCGAATATTTACGACTAAAGACTGGTTTAATAATGAAGCTCCAATCGATTTTCCAGTACATCACAAGAAATTCTTTGGTTTATGATAATAGGTGCTGATGGTTTTTGATAAGTTCATGGGATTTTTTTTGCTAGTCAGAATTGCTGATGACATTTTTCATAACAATTCTCTCTCAGGCTTTTCAATA